ATACACAAACACATCACCTGTATGTCCACAATTTGGGCTTTAGAAAAATGACAGAAATTGTAAAATCCATGACTGTTAAAATGTATTTTTTTTTATGCTAGTGGGGTGGGACTAAGTTCCTTGTACTGTAGCCACTTCTGGACTATTGTACCAGCCCCAGATGATAGGTGAGGGTGATTGTGGAGCAATTGGTGGAATGAAGATTGGCAGGGGAAACCGAAGTACTCGGAGAAAACCTGCCCCAGCACCACTTTGTCCACCACAAATCCCACTTGACCAGACTTGGGAGTAAACCTGGGCTGCCTCAGTGAGAAGCCAGCAACTAACCGCTTGAGCTATGGTGCGGCCCTGTTAAAATATAACTGAGATACTACCAACAAAATGAACTGGTAAACAAAGTCCAGTCAGCACTACATAACTTAAACATACACTACATTTTATTGCCCATTTATTTAATTTGTGGACCTCTGGCAAACAATGACTTTGAATACTGTTTACACACATGCAGAAACAAAGTTAGGAAACTGCAGCCATGTAAGTACAAGGTAATGTCCCTATGCCAAATTAAACAATTCATCGTGAACAAGTATCAGCCTCAGCACTAGGAGGTGATCGGTCAACTTCAAACTGACTCCTTTACCTCAGATTTTCCATTGGTTAGGAGGCTAAGGAACTTCCTCAAACAATATGGATGTATTGGCAAAAAGAAAAACACTTCCCTTGTCAAGAATTTGGCAACATTCATCCAAGTAGCAGCTCGTCAATATTCTGACTGAATCAGACTTTATGATACTAAGCATCATACTGGAACAAAAACAACATATATACTTTAACTGCCATACATCAATTTCAAAGAAAATACATTAACAGAGGTTGTAGCTATTTGTGTGCTGTACCACTGGGACATTCTAAATATCACTTGGTTAATGTAAGAAAACACCAATTTGCTCAGTCTCTGAAATATGATGCATAAAGTTTGGTAGATATGTATCTATCTATCAAACTAAATGGAATCACATCTCAGACAATCACAATATTAATTGTTCCTTCTTTAGCCTGAGTCTTCAATAATTATGCCAGGATGGGTGGAGGTCTGGGAGAAAGGATGGCCTGCTGTACTTTGTGCCAGCAAATCTCACATCAGTCACATAATAAGTTTCCACTGTATCAGCCATAAAACTCACATAAGGACTTATAAACCACTGATAAAGTGCAGTTCACGAACACCTTCACAGTTAACTTCTTCATGTATTGGTATAAACAAGAATTCATAGAGTTGCAATAGATACTTATAAATTTGTTACCTCCCAACCATAAATAGAATCTACACAGACTAACAAACGAGAAAGGAGATCCTTTGTAAATAACCTTTTAAAAATTAAATTTTATCAAGAGTCTTAATTATATATGTAAAGAGAATAGAATTATGACTAGCATCATCTGTTTGTAGCAACACATGGGCTATGTCCAAATATTCTGATGACTACGGTTTTCTAACTAAGAATATGCTACCTTATAAGCAACTGGAAACTAAGTAAAATGCACACATCACTCTGCATGCTAACAGCAATACACAGAATTGTTTACAAACTAAGAGAGAGGAAAATTTCATACTCTACTGAATCACTTATAACAGTATCCAATATAATAAAAGAAATGATTACCATCAGACAAACAAACACTGTACATCAAGTTAGCTATATCATGTGGAACATTATCTACCAATCATGACAAGATATCCAGTATGTACTATGTACTCTGTAATTATGAAACAGAATCTGATGCTCTGTCATTTGATGAATGAAGACTGGAATGAAAATGGTATGGCCCTTTTAACTTCCTTCTGTATTCACATCAACACAGACTGAACAATCTGTGGATTTATATGTATGCTCTTAATTGAATACAAGTGAATTTATTCTGTATTACATAATTTATTACAGTAAGTGCTGGGTCAACTGGTATCCAAGCATCTTCAATTCCCATCCAATCATCACAAAAGTTTTAAAGAAAGTATATAATTCTTATAAAGTTAATCACAAACAAATCTGCAATGCAAAAATATTCGCCCATGATAAGGTAGTTCCCCCAGTTATCATTAGCAGCACTGTCATTCTTCCCCATGCAGGTGCCATTACAGTACAGGCTAGTTGAATCTGTGATTATATTACAGCATATGCATCCAAATGCTTTCACAAATTAGTCTGCTATGCTGCCTAGGAAGAATCCAATGCAAGAACTAAAGCGGAAATATGTTATGACTTTGCCCTGGGTTTCTGCAAGTTCTTCTCATACAAATGGCAAACCCCATTCTGCCTACATGTGGGATAACATGGAGTTTACTGTATTTTCAATTGTCATTCACCTTTATCACTAGCCACTTCTTAAATATCACTCACATACCCATTTCAGCTTGGTCAGCTGAACAAATTGAAACATGTCTATCAGTGAATTTATAAGAATTACAAGATAGGACAGATGGACATGTACAAGAAATAAAATATATACATTCTTATATTTGCTTCAACTAACATTAAAGTACACTTATATTTATCTAGTTTTAGAAGAAGTTGTTTTTTTAATTACTAAGAAGACTAGCTTAATACTGTACAATCTCTGGACCTTCTGATAAAGAAGGGGTTTACATCAGTACTTTCTATTGGTAAAAAACAAATACAGAAATCTTATCACTGGCATAAGGAGTTTATGAAATTCTTACCAAGTTGGGACTAAGAGAATCATTGTGATGAATTAGACGTATTCTGTTCAATGAAAGAAAAAAAAGTGAAAAATCTAGTCTCACATATTGTGAGAAACATTATGAACCAAAGGGTTACACTAGAGGCACTGATCAGTAAAGAAATACACTGTCATGTAATCGTAAGTGAAATGCCATGATCTCTGACATCATTACAGAGTTCTGGTCTGCTCTCATCATGATGGTAGATATCCGACAGAGGTACAAATTTGAGACTACCGTGCTTGAGAAAAGCTATGATGAAACTAGATTTTACGTCTTCCTTTATACATTTACATGACCTATATTCTTGGCCACGGGGAATGCAGTACAGTAGTTGGTTGAGGCACTATGCTACAAGTCGGAAGGTAGTGGGTTCAAGTCCCGAGGAGGTCATTGGATTTTTTCAATTGACCTAATCCTTCAACTGCACTATGCTCCTGGGGTCGACTCAGCCTCTAACAGAAATGAGTACCAGGAATTAATTAAATAATTTTCCTAGGGAGTAAAGCGTCGCCGGCGCATAATGCTGACAACCTTACCGCCATCTTTGAGCCAACTGTCTAGATGATGTGGGACCTTCATCTCACAACCCTATGGGCCTTCATGGCCTGTTACAGGGATGGCTTTACTTTTACTTTTTTTATATTCTTGGCCACAGATTCCAAAGTACACATACCATGCTCAACACTTAAATGGTTTTTTACATATATAATAATTGAAAATTCTCATACTTTTTAACATTCACATTAAAATGTTACATAAAACAGCATTTGGTCATGAAACATTTTTTGTTCATGTGTGTGTGTGTGTGTGTGTGGGGCCACAGAATTTTTTTTGAGAACTGTTGTTTTATGCTGTTCAAACAAATCAGTAACATAATTCTACTATGCTTGACAACTGCTAAATACCTAAAACATAAAACATAAAGGTTTCTGATGAAGACAGAACTGGGACTAGTATTTGCATTGAGGTAGCAGGGACAACTACTTCATTTGCCCCAAGCACTTAGACCACTACTTGGTTCACTGTGCACCTGTGATTTTGTTAGGACCCTTCAAAGGTGTCCTGCCCATAATGCTACAGCCAAAAGCATCTTGACTGGGGTCTTCTTGATGTCTATCAGCACTGTTCATGCACAGCTGAAGATCTATATCCGATGTATAGCCAAAGGTGGACACTCATAATGCATATGATAGGAGCACACATCAAACAAACAAACTCCGTGGTATTAGTCTGCAAGTGAACAATACTGACTGTGCGACCGCCACTTGTCAGTGAAGTTAGTGCCAACTTTAGCGGATACAGGTGTCACGTGGTCAGCGAAACAAATCCCCACAGCAGTTAATTTCGGTTTTCTAAACTGGAGCCACTATTTCTTTGAAATAGCTCCTCAGTTATCCTCACCAGGCTGAGTGGACCCTGTTCCAGACCCACTAGTTCTCAGAAAATCTGGTAGCGCCGGCATTCGAACCCAGACCTTTGGATCTGTAGCCAGGAACTCTGACCACTAGACCACAGAGAAATGAATGTTATGTCATGGATTTAGCAGATCTGCTGTGTGTTATGCATGCAAGAGTTCTCCTGACAGAAAAAAAAATCACTGTAACCACATAAAAAGCATGCTGCATGTTCTAAGTGCAAGACTTCTGACACATAGGTACTGTGTATCTTAAGCATATACCACTTCCATCACTCAGAAAAGCATTTCATATGTAATGGATGTAACAGACCAGCTACAAAGAAAACCCAGCCATGTGTCACAGATGTAACAGTTCCGGCACACACAATGTGTTATGGAACTGTTCTGCCAAATACATAGAGTACTGCATAATGACATTCTTTATATTTGTAGTATGTAAGTCATTTAAGGGCAATGTCAGTAACACAGACTACATAACGTCAAATGATTGGATGATAGTATACAAACAATGCATAATAAAAAGGTGAAGCTGTCCTGTCACAGGCTGTGGAGACCCATAGGACTGGCAGACATTAAGGCTCCCACATTATTTAGACAATCAACTCAATGAGAGCAGTGACACTGTCAGCCTTATATGCTGGCTGACCATCATTTACCATCAGGAAAACCCCTGGCACTCATTTCTCTCAGAGGTGAAGTTGACTCCATGGCCACAGTGAGGCTGGAAGGATTAGATAAATTGAAAAATCCAACGACTTCATTGGAAATCAAACCCATGACCTTCCTGCTTGTAGCACAGTGCCTCAACCAACTACGCTACCGCACGCCTCAATGCATGGCACAATGTGAAAGGAAATGGTCATAGCACAATTTTAGGTACTACCTGGCACTGCCTGGAGGGGTTTAGGGAACCATGTAAAACCTGCAGTTTGGTTTGTGTCCTAGACGAAACTTGACTTCCACCTCTGTACACAAGTCAGAAGCATTATCGCTTGAGCCAACTGATTGGCCATGTTGATATTTTTATTTTGAGATATATTTAAGGTAGTAAAAATGTACTTATAACGGCAATGATAAAACACTGCATTATTGTCCAGATCCTGAAAACTGAACAAATATTGTCCAATAGAAAGCAGAATGCAATGTTTTCTACAATAGCAATGAAAGGGTTAGTCACTGGCCAAAATTCTATATAACAGCTCTGCATTACAACAAATACATCACTTGGGGGGCACCACCAAAATGAGAAATTGGAAAAGGACAAATACACGAACATGTAATGAGATCATGCACTATCTGGACATAGCCACTGATAACATTCTGCTGCTTAGAGTTTTTCAGCTTGGACTACTACTTTCTCTTCTCGCCATGTGTCTGTAGCAGTCCAGCAACTCTGTCGGCAAGTGAACACTAAAACCGTTCCAAATTCAAGATGTACACCTTCTCCTCCTGGACCTAATAATTGCAGCTTTGGAATCAGAGTGGGAAGAACTTGCATTTCAAACAACATTTTGTTATGACAATGAACACATGTAACTGGAAAATCCTGGAGAGGATACAGAAGCAGTGGAGCTCCACCATCACGGCAATACCTGGAATAAAACCAGCAAAGATGTTATGATTTTTGTGGTTAATCCAAGTTAACTGATGATAATTTCTTCAAGAAATCAAGTAGTTAAACAGCAATATTATACACAATTATCTATTTCAACTTAAAATTCAGAATCTGTTGTCTAATTAATTAGCCTAATTCATAAGTTGCCTATTTACTGAGGTGCTGTAGGGATATGGCCATTATTTGACTGCAGAAAATTTCACTCTGCAACAATGGATACTAATCAGAGAATTCAAGTAAATTCTTCACTGGTATACCACTGGAGGCTCTTCTGAAAATAATGAGTGGAAAGAGAATGCCTCTTCTAGGGTCCAACATCTATCTGTCAGACTACAGGGAAAATACTTGGAGGGACATCATCACAACTGAACTCACCTAAGGATCTGCCCAGGATGATTCTGTATCCGTGACACAAAATGATGAAACATCCTATCCCCATGAGTGGGCATGCTTTTCTCATATTTCTCCTGGGTAAATTGTTCCCCTTCATCCTCTTCCAGACTTTTCTCCTGCTCTGCATGCAGCATATTCATGTAATCATCATTATTCTGCTGATACTCCTGCAGTAACTCAAGCACGTGCTCAGAAATGGGTGTGATGGTAGGTGAACTACGCAATTCTTCTTCACTTACACTGATGAATGAAGATGTAAACTGAGGTGGTCCAGTTGGTAATGTATAATGTTGTCTGTTACCATCACCACCATTCCTACTACGAAGTTCCATGGGTAAGGGGGCCACATCCTGCAGTAAGGCAGTCAGGTCATGCTGTGGGGCTGTCGGAGTATCAATGCTCACCTGTGGATTGCAAGAATCAATACATAATGTCCTGGTGCACTGTTTCCCTAACTTTTCAGCAACCAAACTCTTTTGTTGGTGGAAAATCCTGAATTCTATACAAGAAAAATGGGCAAATGATTCTCGATGATGGCATTAAAAAGGAGCGCCGTGTTTAAGCATGATGACTGTGAGGTGAGTAATACAATATATGCAGGAAAAGGTATCCTATGCTGTAAATAAAGTGGACATAGGTTACATGGTAGATTGCAGGGGGTCAGCGACTGCTTTTGGCAGTACACACTTATTTTTATTCATGGCTTATTTAACAATGCTGTCAATATCTCAGACTATATATCATCAAATGGTGGTGTGATTACTAAATAAGAATTGAAATGATGAAGAAGTGGTCATGGCCTAATTTTAGGTACCACCCTAGAGGGGCTGAGGAAAACCACATAAGCTTCAGTTGGGATAGTCTGAATCCTGGCTGAGATTCAAACCAAGCACCTACCACACATAAGTCAAGAGTTATTACTGGAGGAGGCAACTTGCTCAACGGTATGAACTTAATAGGCATTCTTATTCTAGTAAGGTAAAGGTAAAGCTATCCCTGTAAGGGGCTGAGAAGGCCCATAGTTCTGAAACATCGAGGCTCCCACATTTTCCAGGAAATTGGCTCACAGATGGTGGTGAGGTTTCCAGCATTATATGCTGGCCACCCTTTAGCCTCAGGAAGATTCCCGGCACTCCTTCGTGTTAGAAGCTGAGTCAATCCCAGGATCATTGTGCTGATGGAAGGATTATATCAATTGTAAAATCCAATGAGCTCATTGAGAATTGAACACGTGACCCTCTGGCTTGAAGCACAGTGTCTCAACCAAGGGTGTCCCTTATTGCACTAGTGGTTTCACCAAACCAGTAAGCTTCGTGTAAGTACTGCACAAAAAAAAGTACACTATCCTTTTGTATGCAGGCCCTTGAGAAAATACAAGATGCTACCAGAAACTTCATGGACTAGGTCAAAAAAGAAATGCTGGCTTAACTTACTCAATTTTGGTTTGCCACATCCTTCAAAATAGTCTCCTTGGGAGTGTGTACAGTGATCCCATTGCTTTTTCCATGCCTCAAAACACCATGGAAGTAACTTTCCTTACTGCTATCCAGTACCGCTTGTGATTCCCTTTGGATGTCAGACACTGTTCCAAAACATCGTCCCTTTGGTTTCATTTTCAATTCGGGAAACAAAGCGAAATCATCGAGGGTAAGTTCGGTAAGCAGGAAGAACTGGGAATGATAACCATATTGCTGTTAGTCACTAACTATGTGGTTTTCAGGGACATGAGGCTGGGTGCAATGTTGTGATGGAGTCAGTGGTGGTTGTGCTGAAGTTCTGATCTGTTGCACCTGCTCGCTCGCGGATTTCTTCTTGTCTTCTACCCTGAAGATGGAGACGATATGTTTCTCTGAAACGTCGGTTAATACAATATCTACATGGTGCCACAGCCCGGAAGACTGCTTTCTTCATAGTCACCAGCGTGAAAACCTCAAATCTTACATTCGGGTCTTTTTGGTCGCACATTTCCTCTCAAGCACCTCAAAATTCACAGTAAAAGTCAGAGTTGACCATAGTGTTAGGAGGAACAAATACACGGTAAACAATCCTTTCACATTGGAAAAAAACAACAAACAATGAACATCCTCTCTGTTGAACTCTGAACCTGCCACCCCATTTTTTCTTTTGGTGACTGTGGGCTCTTCCACTACCACAATTGTTATTTTGTTTCTGGATCATAATCACAAACCCAACCTTCGTCACCTGTTATGGTCATAGAGATACTCATAAAAGTTGGGTCCTCATTAAGCCTTCTCTTGTTGCTTAAGACACAAGTTTACACAATGCTGCTTTTGATCATTTATCAAAAGTCGGGGAACAAACTTCATGGCAATGTTCAATGACAGCCTTCATGGATGAGTTCTCAAATTTTTTCAACATTTTCTCACATTTTGCTGATGCTTGGTCATCCGGAACGTTCGTCATCTTCAACTGATACACAACCAGCCTTGAAAAGTGAATGCCATTCAAAAACTGCTGTCTGGTCTAAGGAATGTTCTCCATAAGTCTCATGAAGCATTTCAGTGGTTTCTCTAGTAGATTTACCAAGCCTCACACAAAACTTGATGCCGATACGTTGCTCAGTTTTTCCATCCACCACAGACAAAATGAAACACAAAGCAGAAAAAGTACTTGTGTAAAATCAATGTTGTGTTCACAGTGTGGTGTTATGTGGCAGACTGATGCAATAGGCTTGCAGAAGTGCAACCTTGGCATCCCCTCTCTTCTTTCACTGAGGCAGTTACAACAATATCCAAACCAATATTATTTGCAGACGATACAAGTATCCTTATCTTTGATAAGAATCCTGCGGAATTTAAAATTAGAATAAATAAATTATTTGAGATGATAAATGAATGATTTAGGAAAAATGAGCTAGTAATAAATTATGAAAAAACTTATTTTCTACAGTTTAGAACTAAAAACAGTAAAAACTTAAATGTTCAAGTTAGTTATTTAAACAATCAAATTCCAAGTATTTCTAATATATCATTTCTGGGATTAAAAATTGAAAATTTTTTAACGTGGGAAAGTCATATTGATGCAGTAATTGAAAAGTTAAATACAGTCAACTCTCGATTATCCGGGGGCGGATTAACCGGTTTGCGGCTTAACCGGGGCTTTTTTTTTTAAGTTTATATGTTGTTTAATATTCATTCACTTTTGTTTCACATGGTGAGTTGTAACACTATTTTCGCACTAGTGTGAACCGAGCTCTGCATTATTTCGTCCCGTTATGCGAACACAATGTTCTAGGGTGGGGGTGAAAGAATGCAAGAATTTTTGGAAAGTTTCAAGGACAAATACACCGCCCCAGGTTATTTAACGGTACCATCTCAGTGTGAGAGTGCATTGTGAAAGTAAGTATCAGTTTCTTAATATAGATCTTCAAGTGCGTTAGCAAAATGTCGGGGTTTAAAAGGAA